TATATATATATATATATATATATATATATATATATTTTTAGGTTACACCTTACAATACGTTGAGCAATTAATTCACTAAATATTTACTTATTTATTTGTGAAGAAACGTCCTCGACAATTTACAACAATACGTTACATTTTCATGTGTAGAATGTATAGTAATGATTTTATACAATAAATAGTATCTGTAGAGAGAAGATAGATTTAAGAAATTTAAGGAATTTAAAAAATTTGAAAGAAGAGAAAAACAAAACAAGAAAAAACATATTTAGTAATTGATAATTGATGATGAATATTAAATATTAATGAATGAAGTATATTTATTATATTATATATTAATATTATTATTATATTAGGATATATTAATGAATGAATATTAAATATCAATATATAATTATTAACTATCAAAAAATTATTGTTTAATATTAAAATTTTTTATTGACTAGAAAAAAATTATTTTTTAAATGTTAATTAAGAAATCATTTTTTAAATACTAAGAAATCCTTCTATCAGTGCATCTGTTTTTATTAGTTAAACATAGTCATTTTCAAATGAAAGATTTGACACAATATAACAGCATAAGAAGAAAGAAAAAATATAAACAATCGTAGATCAGAGCAGTGTAGTTTTGTATTGTAAATATCAATATAAGTATAATGTAAATTATTTTAGAAAATTTGCAGACTTTGATCCCTAGGCCTCCCTGAGTTCAAGCTCATAGAAGAATTCAAAGGCTTTTGATTTAAATGCCTCTATGCTGAGTGAGTTTATGACATCTGGTGAAATTTCACGCCAAAGGCGTATTGATGAGATTAAAAAGGAGTGCTCATATACTGATGTCGAAAAATTTGGAAAGCAGAAAGAAACATTCTGTACTTTGAAGCCAACCTTTCCGAGCGTCTGATGTCTTGTGGCTCCTCAAAAAAAAGACATCTCAAAAAAATTTGGTTCACCAGAACTGAATAATTTGTATAAAAAACAGGCTAAAAGATAAAGTCTTTTTGATTTGATTGAAAGCCATTTTAAGGAGCGACGATGAGGAGTGATATGGTCATCACGTTTCAAATTGTAGATCAACCTGATGCCGTTGTTCACCAAGCGCTGTAGTTTATAGTCAAGTCTGTTAGAATTGTCAATCAATACCAAAGAGCAATAATCAATTATTGGAATAATTAAGGCTGTAATGAGTAGGTTACTATAGAAAACCCTAAAAAATACTTTAAATAAATTATAAATTTTGGCTTTTATATTTTCTAACATTATACTTTGTAATATTTAATGTTATACTGAGTAAATTTTATAATTTAGTTTTTTTCGTGTACATAGTTAGAAATTTCAAAGAATATACGTTTTTGTGTTAAGAACATAAATTCTTATGTCGTCTTATATCAATTTTATTCTTAGGGATTCCTCAAGATTCCACGAACTGTAACAAATTTCTGAAATTTCATGAATAATATAACTTATTCAGTGTCGTGAGATAGAAGGCGGAAGATAAGGTCTAACAAAAAAAGCAAGTTCAATGATATTCTTGTTTACAACCTGTGATCATTTGGAATTTGTCACTTCGGAGAGGTAACAACTCTTGAGAAATAGAGAAGAGAAAAAGGAGAAGGAAGAGAAAAATAAGAGAGAAAGAGCAGCAAAATTCCGATTCTTAGTTATTTCTTCGGATTCCACAAAGTTCAACAAATTTCTGAAATTTGACGAATACTTAAATAATATAACTTTTTATTCAGAATGAAAACAGATCAAAAATCCATATAATAAAATTGAGATAAAATGTATGTGAAGCCAATTTATTTATAACCTGATTGGTCAAATATCTTATAAGCATAGAAATATATAAAATTCTATAGTAAAGAGCGCACATATTATTTCTAGTACTTTAAACAAAAGATAAAAACCATTAAAATTTTTTTAGAAGTTTGACTTCAAATCCAGATTATTAAAAAAAAAAAATCCATGCGAGGACTTGACTGAAAGCTTCGGCAGTAAATCTAAATCCGGAGAGAAGTTAAATTCTAAGCATATTAGATTCACCTCGTGATTTAATCGGACACGGAGCTCTAATGGATAAAATCCAATTGAGCTGTCCAAACAAATTCGTTTAGTCGTGTTCCATTGCGAGCTCATGTGTGAGATACTCCACTC